ATTCTTTTTATATTTGGTACCTAGCTTCATCACAGTATAAGAAAGGTCCAAGTCAGGTTTGGTGACCTTGACCTTCATTTCCAGGTCACAAGGGGATTTTAACGTTTTACCTGCATGTTAAGCTGTCTCAAGAACCGTTCTCTGGATTTTCTTTATATTCACTACCAAGCTTTATCTAGGGAAGGCGCATTGCCCAGTCGATTTTGGTGTCCTTCACTTCATTTTCAAGGTCACAGAGACACTTTGAAGATTTCAGTATATTAACCTGCATGTTATGCTTGTCAGGGAGATACCTCAAGAACAATTCAATGGAGTTTCTTCATATTTGACACCAAGCTTCATCCAAGGAAGGCGCAAGGCCCAGTCGATTTTGGTGACCTTCACTTTATTTTCAAGGTCACAGAGACATTTTGAAGATTTCAGTATGTTAAATTGCATGTAAGATAGTCAGCAAGATATCGCACAAAATATTCACTGGATTTTCTTCATATTTGACACCAAGCTTTATCTAGGGAAGGCCCAGGACTCAGTCAATTTTGGTGACCTTCACAGAATTTTCAGGGTCACGATGACACTTTGAAGATTTCAGCATGTTAACCTGAATTGTCAGCAAGATATTTCAAGAACCGTTCACTGGATTTTCTTCATAGACTTTCAAGACTTCCCTTGAATGTTTTTCAATAAGCAATTTCTTTAGTACTATTTTTGCATATTTCATACACTATGACATTCATGTCAAGGTCAAAGTCAGTCTTGCAAATATGTGTGTGTTTGAACAACCAAAGAGCAAGATATCAAGAGAGGTTGACTGGTCATGTTTTTGTTGACATTTACCTTCATCTTAAACTTTCATTACTATATAAGATTGATTTGATAATTTGCGGCGGGGGATTATGTCACCTTAGTGACAATGCTTGTTTATTATTATTATATGCCACAATTTTGGATCTGTGACCTTTTTCCCTTCATCAATCACAGATTCAAGCTGGGTCTTTTCTATTTATGTGTTGATAGAAGATGCTTACTACAAATATGGGAGTACATCAAGAAATAATTCCTCACTCATTCAAAATATGGAATTGCCTCAGACATGGTTTTTGTCAGTAATGTGTCAAGTCCATCACTTTCAGAGAAATGGTGAGTAGTAGCATGCATCAGAAATTGAAAACCATCAAGAGAAAATGCTATAACCCACTGTGGACTACTTCTACAACTAAAGGTTAACAAATTGTGTATGCACTGGAGAAGCACCATACTTCCAGCAGTGGATACAGATAATGGGGAATTAAGTCATTCTGTTGCCAGATTTCCATTATGTAGTCATTAGATATTGCTGATTGGCTGTTACGTCTAAAACATGAAGTTTTTTAAGTGACCTTACCCATGAATTACAGCGCAAATGATGGGATTTGATCATATAATAATACATCTCTGTTGCAGCTGCTGTTTTGAATTTTGTCTCTTACCTTGGAGCTTATAAGTTTAGCCAACAGCTTATCCTGCCAGGGGATTCGTGAGACAGAAAAGGCTTTTTTCCATTTCCATAATATGGATTTGGTAAACAATTCATGGACATGATTGTCACCTCTCAATAACAAATTTCAGTTGTTCATTAGCTGGTATCAGACCTCCAAGCTCTTTAGGTAAGTGCATTATCACAGCATTGGTATTGCCAAGACAAAGCAAGACACCCTGTTCTCAACAGACTGAAGACATCATTCCACATACCTTCCAAAAGTGGGACTCAATTCTGGTATTGTCTGGTTGATTCATAAAGCATACACAGCTTCAGCAGGGATGTTCTTCCTTCAGCTATCCACAAAGACAACCTTTCCACTAGCTTTAGCTTACCGGTAAGCTGCTTGAAAATCAGACTATGAGTGGAACACATTCATGTTGATGATTGGAGTTCCATATAGATGTATATCAGACCCCTCTTATAAGTTGTGGTCAAGATTCAGTTGGCATGTCTTGGGCATTGATTATATATCATACCTTAAGCCAGACTGTCATCCTGATTGATTGTTATGTCCAGTTAGAACACTGAGGTTTTATCCTGCAGCAACGAAACCTCATAAAAGACTCACAAAATTTATTCTTTGGAGACTGCTTCAGACAAGTATGTCACGAAAACCACTGTTAAGGTCATTCAATTCAATGACTTACGTTTTGAATTTCAAGCAACTCTGAGACAACAGAATCACATAGGTATCCACAGTCTACTTTTTACTGTCCAGGGAGTTTATTGAATGAGAACCCTACAATCCCTTTGATATATCCTGACAATGATGAAATAGAAGCATGGTATGTGCAAAAATGATCAAAACAAGAGTTATCATTTTTGATAAGATGTACTCCCTTTAACATCTGTCAAGTTGGCAGGTATTTGAGAGAAGTGAATTTTTTTTGTTGTTCCCGATAAGAGGGCTTTGTTCTATGTTTGTTTGTATTCCGTGTACTACTAATTCTGAAAATCATAAGATCGTGTTGGTGTGATTAGCCAAAAATTCAGGACTATGGGAATGATATAAAAAAGGTCGTATTCTAAGAATTATTAACTGTGATAACTATCGTAATAAAATGCCTTTTTGGAGTGCCACAGCATCGGCCATGGAGAAGTGCCAATTTATACTTGTCAGGGGGATACACAAAGCATGTGATCAATTGTCAGACTTACATTTTTGACTAAGTCATGGTGGCTGAGTGGAATGAATCACTGACTTTGTTTGCTGTCTGTTAGTTGCCTCGGTCTGAGATTGTGGGTTTAGATCTTGAATGAGACTCAACTCATTCAATCAATTCACTGAGAAAGTGTATTCCCAAATTTAGCCTGTTTCTTTCTAAAAGGCATTGTACATGCATGCATTTATGCTAACTATTTTGTGTTTTGATGATTCTTGAAAAATCAGTTGTAACATATGTTTTTGTTGTTCAACTCACTCTCATGACTATATATTTTCAGAAATGGATGATTGACAAGATGCTGTAATACTGAGCAAACATAAGCGTGTGCTTGAGTCAGTGTACAGTGTCTGTGTACTCAACATACATGTATATAAAAAATATATATTCCCCGCTGTCTCATGTGTTTCCATTTTATTTACAAGAAATTTGTACAGCCTAATTTTAAGCATTGTACATAACTTTTTCTGTTAAGTGATGTATGATACAGAAAGTTAGAAGGGTGATAATCTCTTTATCATATTATATCCATCTTTGAATAATCACAGTTTATAAAGCATTGAAGTAAAATGCCTGTGTGAACCACCCCATTTATTAGATTGTCAAATGAGTATAATGCTCACACTTGTAAAAACTCTATCTGAACTGATTGGGGAATGTTTTATGTAAATAACCTTGGGATACACAGTCCACAAGATCAGCGTCATACTTTCACACATATTTTATTTCAAAACCAGTTATCTTACTGCTGCCATTTGGGGGATGTCTTAAACTAAATACATCATATTGAAATGTGTAATATCTGAAACAACTGCATGGTCTTTGTGAATAACACTTATTAGAGACCTAATTTGGTGAATTCAAAGTGTTTCACAAAGCATATATCTGATTTGAAAGTGGGGGCATCAGGATAGGTGGCGATGAGTCTGTTATTGCATGTAACACAGACATCATTCCAGTGATGTATATGTTGTGCATGCACATAGAGAGAGAGAGTGTGTGTATGTATGTATGTATGTATGTATGTATGTATGTATGTATGTATGTATGTATGTATGTATGTATGTATGTATGTATGTATGTATGTATGTATGTATGTATGTATGTATGTATGTATGTATGTATGTATGTATGTATGTATGTATGTATGTATGTATGTATGTATGTATGTATGTATGTATTGACACACATTTCAGTCTTGATGAAAATGAAGGAGCGCAGGCAATTCCTTTAGTGTTGCAGTAGCCTTGGGAAACAATCTTGGGTGGGTTTGAATCAGAAGGCTTTTTTTATCTCATGATTTGGACTTACAGAGCATATTCTGTTGAAAAGAGAAATGATATGTCACTTCTTACAATAATATCACCCCAGTTCTGTGAAACTTTAATGCTTTTAAGATTATCCATGTAAACATTTGTCTTGGAGCAAAATTGTTGCTCATGAAAGAGATGTGAGTGATGGGATGGAGACCAATAGATGGTCTCTGGTTTAAACGGAATCTTCTCAAACTCAGTATTAAAGTTTCATTTAAGTGAAGAGTGACCTGATCATGGAAGGTGCTGATGTTTGTATTCCCTATTTGTGTCACACTGGTGTTGGGATATGTAAGACAGAACTGTTTCAACTCATTAATAGTCTGTTTTAATGGTGTATTTATACTGTTTAACCAAAAGGATGTATTTTTGAAAATCACATTTCTTCTGTCTATTTTATTGAACCTGCTTGTCACTATAAATCAGTCATAGACCCAGGTCTACCCTACAGTTAGTTTTGTTTCATTTCCAAAAAATGATCTATGGAGACGAGAAAACAAAATTTGCTCATTTAAAGAACTATGTTAGATGGCTTTTAGAGATACTGTGTTGGTTGTAGTATGTGTTAAATATCTGTGAGAATGTTCTCATGATGCTATAATTGACATTGTTCCCTTTTTCCTACATTGCCTTATCAGAGGTTTACATTTACATTATTCTGTCTTTGTAATGCATATTCTCCAGCTCAAACAGTTATGATAACAGAGCACTGTGCTATACTTACCCACTCTTACAAATCATATATCAACAATATTTTACATTCTACTTTGTATAGCTTTTTAGTTTCATTTTATGTAATGTGCTTGATTTTGATCATTTTTAATTAGATTTGACAGAGCCATGAACGGGCTGTACCAGACGGTATGGTCTTCTCTCTCATACATCAGGATGTTTACCTTCCCTTTCATCACTTCTATCAGCATTCATATTTACATGTTGCTCTCCTTTCTCTGCCTCTTGTGGTAATTGTTTACATTGTTTGAAAACGATTGTTTAATTTTTCAGATCCCAAAACTAAACAAGTAATACAGCACAAATTCAAATCCAGCATGGTAAGTGAGATTTGCCTTGAACATCTAATAGTGTACTATTTGCTATGTCATTTCTGTGTGCATTGCTTTGCTCATCATGTTACCACACGATCATTGTGGATTACATTTTGGAGACTCACCTTTTTTCTAAATGATTCAGAATTTAGGGCAGCATTTTTTGTTATTTTACTGTGCACTGATACCATTTGGAATAGCCATAGCAAGAACAGTGTTTTATTGTGGTAAACTGTAAGAAAGCCAGGACTATGGTCCTGAGCATACTCATGCACAGTCAGGATAGTGATACTAGTTTTATGCAGATTTCAAAAGTGATTGAAATTATGGCAAATAAGGCATTTGATATTTTAAGAGACATATCATAGCACATCAATGTGTCAATCAGATAAAGAGGAGAAACAATCACAACAAAGCAATTTGTTTGGTGGTGTGGGGGGGTGGGGGTGTTCATTCAACATGGTCAATGCATCAAGCGAAATAGGCTTTTCAGTATGCTCAGCAATTTATAAAATATTGTTCACATAAATGATTAGTTCATGTTTTCCAAGGATTTGAAAAAAAATGTTTGTCTTGTGTATGAAAACATGCAATTAACCTGTAACCAATTAACCACGTAAGTCTTAATCTGTTCTTTGTGTTAGGTTTTGGGGGAAGGGGTGTGTGTAAACTTCCAACACATGTTCAAATGGAAAACCCCTACAATGTAGTTACTATTAACAAAATAAAATGATGCAAAGATTACTTTCATTAAACAGACTTTGTTCTGTTTTCTGTATCTATTGATATTTATCATGTAGGATTTTGTTTCATGTTTTTTGTCTTTCTTTTATTTTATTTGGTGTATAAAATATATAATAATGATTTGTGTGTCTGTAGAAACATACTGGTGTGGCTTTTGTCTTTGTTTGGGGTATTTTGTTTTTATATTTTGCAGCCTCTGTGTAAGTTTTGCCCCTTGCTGCATACATTTCCCCCAAATCAATTCATGTTTATGAAATAATACCCAGAGAAGAAATGAACTGAAAAGTTACATTTGCGCTGATAAATGTATTGATGAATGTAAGAAATCATTTTGATAGTCTATGGAACCTAGATGTCAGTAGATGCAAGTGAAAGAGAGATATACACATGATGGTTATTCTCTTTGGAATTGTTCTGCTGAATTACTGTACAGCTGATTTGTTTGGAGCTAAAAGCAACACACAAAACAAAATTTCCAAAGTATGTAAAATTGCAAAAATAATTTACAGAATATACAAAAACCTTAAAGAAGAAAATAGAGAGCAACAACCATTTTTAGATTGTCCTGAAACCCAAAAGATTATCCCAGAGTTAATGATTATGCATGAATTTCTTGTTTTTATTAGGCCAACGAGGCTGCACTCATGATGCATAGGATATTTTCTGTGCAATACGCCAAGTTACGAGCCAAGGCCTTACTTTTACCTGATGAAAATGGAAACAGTACGCACGTCCTCTTTACCATCTGCTTCCATAGCTTTACATGCCTGATTTATTAACCTTCGTTTCAACATCACCTAACCTGGCCTTGCTTACAAATTTAGCTAGCATTGTTTATTTTAAACCAAATGCTGGTAGTTTACTAGTAGATCATTGTTTTAGATTTCAGCAACTAACACATTGTACTTACTATTCAATTTGCCTGACGTTGTGCTTTCAGTAGACCTTTTTATTTTAAGATAAGTGTTCACTTGTTGACCTTGGTTTTAGTCAAGATTGAAAATTTAAATAAAGTCAGTTTCCATTTATTCAAAGTATATCAAAAGTCATAAGTACTTTTTACAAGTTCACAAAATGTATGTCTTTGGAGTAATAAGTTGTCACCTGTAGAACATGTACAGACTGATAAGGAGTAATATAATGTGTCACCATGATCTGTCCCAAGGTTTAGTTCTGTGTTCCTGTCTGAAAAGACATTTTCCAACAAGCACTCAGACATTATTTATGTTACCATATTTATTACTAATACAGGTAAGTTGTCTCAGCTTCCCTCACAATAGCCAAAACATTTATAGTACTTATGCTGAGAGAAATAGCAAAGAATAATACAATCGTCTTGGATGCTGAGATGTCTCCAGGTAGCAGCATCTTCATAATTTAGGTTCAGTACTGCACATGATATGTCATCATTCACTGTGCAGTTACTGGTCTGTTTGAACAGTCTGAATCTGTCAGAACTAAATCAGTAGTTGTGTCGATTGTGCTGAATCAGGATATTCAGAATTAAAGATAATTTCCATGCATCTTGCATGTTTACAAATTACTTAGAAGCAGAAACCTCTCAATCTCAAACGAGTAATGACAGTTTGTGAGATGTAAACACATTTCAATTCAATTGGTCATTCTTCACTTAAGTTGTCTTAATCCAGTAGTAATTTCTCATTTGTTGCACATCTCATTTGCTAACTTTAAAAAGGTACACAGTCATGTGTGAATGCACCCCAATTCCCCTGCCTTTTACCTGGCAGATAAATTAGTCACACTTAAACAGTTAAAAACATTCAAGTAGAGTTGTTGTTTCATGTAGTGACGCAATTTGAGTTAAAATTATGAACGATGTACAATGGAGATAACTACATAACTTAAGCTGCTAATTTTTAAGATGTAACTATTGACAAAAACAAATGTTGAAAAGACAAGATACATCCATCATACTGATTTTCAGTGTTTTCATTTCAAAGTCTCAAAGAGACAATTTTATTTCTTTTCTTCACAAAATGTTTGAAGATGTGATTTCCAAAATAAAAATTCATGAGAAAAATGAAAAATTATCTTAGAATCCAATGTAGAGACAATCCCTAAAATTAAAGAAAAACATAATCAGGTTATATATTTTGATGTAAGAAGTGTGCAAGCCATTTATTATCCCCATGTCCCAAAAATATTTTGTTTTGGATATAGAAATGGGTTCCATCAGATTTTATTGCTGGAGCATCATTAAGTTTTCTTCTTCTAGTTTTGGATTACTCCGTTTTCTTTCTCTTGGATTTGCCTTAGTTCACAAATTCTTGAATATATGTTACAGCTTAGGATATATTCTGTGCAGGGTGGAACTACCCCTCTTCCTTCATGCTTGTGCTAAAGGAAACATCTTTTTTCACTTTAAAGCACACTCATAAGGTTTGTATTTTCACAATGTAACTTAGTAGATTTTTAATCAAGACAGATACATAAGCGGTCTCAGATTAGGAGGACCTACGCGTGAAGTAGTGAAAATAGTTTTTTTTACAAATTAAGCTTGTTTGGTTCAAACTTAATGTTGGAGAATGACTCTCTTCTTCATCAACATCTGGTGTATGTGCTCAGGGCAGTTGCACCCAGATCATACGGGACCCATCACCCTAAGTGCCATCTTCGTGTCGCACCCCATTCTCAAAGGGTCAATTTGAAAGCTCATGATGATAGGCTCTTTAAGGCAACATTGGAAGGTGATGCAGTGGGAGTTTGAGTAAACAAGCCACGATCCTGATCCCTCATCCCCCTCCACCCAAAGAGAGATCACCTTTCACTGGGGTATTCTGTTGGGTGTAGGGTAAGGTAGTATCCACTGGGGCTGGCAACAAGACCAATCAGTCTTAACTGATCCATTCTGACTCTTTTAACCCAAATCAGTTCACTGAATCCTTATCGTGTCTATGATCATTTGTTTCCAGTTTTGACAATATGATGCATGGTTTAAATGCTTGTTCCTGGGCATGATTCTACATGTCTCATTTCTCTGGTATGCATTATGAAAGCATGTCTAATCCTGGGGTGATACATCTATAAACCTCTCACCCACAGAAGACACCAGTCCACATGACTAAATATGTATCAACAGTGTGGGGACTTACTTTTGCTGGGCCATGGACGAGACTCTTGCACCAGAGAGTCCTCAGCTTTGCGGTAGTGGTAGTATACAAGATCCAACCAGCTTGATAGTTTGGGGCATGCTGTGAGATCAGTGCTGCTGATGCATATATGAGGTGTGTACTGTCAGACACCTAGACAGCTTTGATGACTGACACTTAGCTACAAGTCACTGTTATACAGCAGGCAGCAGTTCAACCAAGCCTATTGCCAACAGATAGTAGTTGATAGTAGCTTACCCATCCACAGGCTGCAGGGTATGACCTTGGTAGTAATTTGTTGACTCACTACAGTGAAGATGCTGGCCTGTTGATGCCTTCACAGTGTTCACGAATGGTGTTTCAAAGTAACAAGACATTGGGTCCTGTAAGTTTCAGATGTCTGTCTGACCCATTGAAAATTCACAGGACCCATAGAATAAAATTAAATAAACATTTCAGATTTAACATTTCTCATAATTGGCAAACATAAGATTTATAAACAGCAAACAAGTGTCATATGTCACATATAACAACTTCAGTCAAAGTCACTGTGAAATATACAGCCAGACACTGGGGCCAGCGGGATGTAGACTTCTATCAGACCGTTGGCGAATCTGACGGATTTGTCAGAGGGTCAGACGCTATTCGTGAACACTGCCTTCAAAGCTAATTATTACTCCTTTGAAGTCATTGTACAAAACCTCATTCTCCTTGTACTCAAATTACAGCCATCTGTTATGAATGAAGCTGCTGCCAGTTGATAAAACATGCAGGGTTTGCAAGACCAGTCCCTTGACTCCCTACTACGAGAGATTTCATATCTCTGCTGTTTCCTTCCTGGAGAAAGATCTATTACAGTTTGATGCTTCACTGAAGAAATCTGAGTGAATAACAGATTAACAGTCCATCAGATTGACTTGCCCATATACAAGCCTCATGACTGTCCTTTTCATCCATTTCCTTCCACTGATGACAACTTCTATCAACTGGTCTAATCTCCATCACTCACAATACACATATTATTAATCAAATTGAGAGAATTGAAGTGGTCAATGAATATCAGCATGTATATATACTGGTTCACTGTCCAGGTACAATTCACAATGCTTTCTTAGGACTACATGTCCTATCACAAGTACGCAAAAACATTTCAGAGCTTCTAATGGAGGCTATTCTATTTCAATCTTTCTTGGTGCAAGAAATCTTTTAATAAAGCACTGCATACTTAACTGCATAAGCTCATAGCTGGATAAATCAGCATGTTCCTGCTCTACATTCAGAAGATATAAATCCACCCTTCTGCAAGGCCATACAAAATGTCGTAACATGTCTCCATGGGTAGAGAGGTCCACTTCTTTCCAGAAGTGCCACATGTTCAACCAAACTTTGTCAACTGGCGTATTTTTCAAAAGTGTTGAAGTTGAAGGCAGGAGTTCCTGAGTACCGTCTCAATGTCTGTGTCTCTGTCTGTCTTGATTAATAATCTGTGAAGTTATAGTATGAAGGTAATCACAAAAACTTTAATGTTTCCTTCTGCACATGAAAGGAAAAAGAGAGGTTATCCCACACAATTGCAGATATGGCACTAACCAATATTTACTCCCAACTACCCTGAGCAGAAAATAGAAGTGTTGAGAGCCCAAATGCTTTTCCTAAACCTTTTTACTAAACAGTCACAAATACCTCCAATTTCCCCACATATCATTTATGGCAGCTCTCTATTCCGAGTACCGCCTCCGTGGTGTTGTGGTTAAAACATCCGACCAGAAAGCGGAAGGTTGCAGGTTTGATTCCAGGCCATGTCATACCAAAAGATGTTAAAAAATATGGTACTTGTTGGTCCCTGTCTGGTGCTCGGCATTAATGGGTACAACAGGGGCTGGTCAGCTCAAGAGTCAGTATAATGTGTCTGAGTAGGGTATTCATGCTTAACTGTAGCATGGTATCTCAGTGAGCTAGCACTATAAGACCAGCTTAAGTCTGGGCTAGTACAAGCAACCACACATATACACCCATGCACGTCGTCATATGAGTGAAATATTCTTAAGCGCGACACTAAACCCCATTTCACCTCACCTCTCTATTCCAAGAGGGCTGTGACATGACTGGAATACTGTTTAAGCTATGTTAAACCCAGTTCACTCATTTTATCCCATTTGTATTTTACATTTCACCCTCACCAAAGTTAGAAATGCCAGAGCTAACTCTAGTGACTTCATGATGTTTGACAGTTGAGATGCAAATCATTTCCTTAGAAACAGCCAGCTGGTGAAGCTCCCTCACGTATGCTATTATGGTGAGTGGATGTGTGTGCTCCCAGATTCTCTCAAAGTACATGTAAGCCATGTTGGCTACTATGCCCTACGTCTTTTGAAAGTGTGTTTGTCTTTTTGTGTCAAACAAAGGGTATTGAAGTATCAGATTTTTATGCTAATAAAATGGAACTTGAGTACTGTATGCAAGACAAATATTTAGAAGATGACCATCCTGCTCTTGAGCAGTCAAGGGAAAGGATATGTCTTTTGGAGAAAGTGTTGACCTTTGTTATGTACTTACACATACCTTTACAAATGTCATTGCCCTTGACAGAAGACCTTGATTGATAGATAGAGCAGCAGTGTTTGGTTGAGGTAAAATTTCAGAGACCATTGTGGAGGGAAGCTGAGAGAACACTGTGTGTTTGTCATGATTATATAACGTGACAGATTTACCATACAATTCCTCATATTATTTCATTTCTCTTACCTACACCTAATACTGGTATAAGCTTAGCAAAATACATTGATTCATTAACAACACTAATGTCTTTCTGGTTCATACAAGTAGTTTATGCATTTTTTGACACAATACATCAGTAGAAAATTGTCCTGCAGTTCTGACAATGTTGCCTATGAACTTCTCGGTAAATGTAGTGGACAGGCAATGAAAGTTGTGTGATTCCAGTTGATAACAGTTATCTATTGAAAAGTTCCTTTATTTAAAGTGCATGGTATCATTTGCTTGATTTTGTCACTTGTTTGTGCAGTGTGTACTGAAGTCTGAGCCAAGCTTTTTGTCTTCTTGTAATTATGTCAGCTTCCAGTATTATAGCTTGGATATCACTGTGTCAAGTTTACAAGCATGTTTCTCTGTGTTATGTTCAGTTTTTTGCATTTTTTAATAGTTACTTCCAGTTTGTGTATGGTTCATGCATTACAAAGCCACTGTGAAAACATTTTATATAAACACTGAAGAATTCATTCAAATACAGAATTAAAGTAATTCACCAGTGGATATATAAAACAGATTGACTTTGTATATTTGAACAAGGTTCAACTTCAAAATACATAATCAGATAATCATGCATAAAAAAATTGTGACAAAAATACTAACATTTCAGAACATGTACCTATGGTACAGTGCAGGCATTTGTATTTGGGATCAGTATTGTGTTAAGCTGGAAGAAAAGAATCGATAGAAAGCAATGGTATTGTATTTTCCTAAACACAACAGAATATAACTGATGTACAAATATTTTATGCTTTGACGAACCAATGGCCGTATTATATTTATGTAACAGTTGGAGACATTTCTTTCTTCAAGTTTCCCTGACTTCGAAACTTCCTTTGAACTGCCTTTTCCTTTCCAAAGCCTTGAATATTTACAAATAGAAACATGTACTGTAGGGTTCTGCCTATTATTTTGTAATGATGGTGAACATTGTTTCACTAAACAAAATCAATGAGTTGGCATCAAGTACATGTGTTTTCACTTTTGTATTTTATGGTCATAATTGTATACAGATATCATAATCATACTGTTTTACTTTTTAAGATACTAATAATTCTGAAAGATAATTTCTCAATTATGATTTCTTTCTGTTTCAGGCTGACCAGATGTGCTATGCAGTCCTCTGTTTGTTTTCTTATGTTGCAGCAGGTTTAGAACAGAGAAAACAATCTTGACACAGTCACCAGTTGATGATTCTAGCCTTCCTCCTGACGATACATTCTTCCATTTTGTCCTTCCTTCCGTCAGAACAGATAGTCAGGGCAGTTGACATGATCGTAGATCTTATCATCTGCTCCACCATACAAGTTCTCCTTCATTCCACAGTATAATTGAGAGCCTATGTTTTTTTTCTGAGAAATGTATTCTTATTCATTGGTGCTTAAAGCTATTTTTTCTGATATTCTGCATTTATTCTGCAACAGTTGTGTGTTCAATTGTTTGGAAGTATTGTCTTCCAAGCCGGAATAAATAGAAAATTTCCTTAGAATATTCCTTTATGGTCAGAATAATTAATGGTCATGAATCAAATTCATCCTCCATCATGTAAACAGTATGCATACTTCATTTTGTTCAATTCCAGTGGAAATCCAGTAGCTTGATGATATTATCTTCTAGATCTCTGATTGTTGACAGCTTGAAAAAACCCCAACATACTGCTCAGATTGTTAATGTATAAATATATTCTTGTGCCTCGTAAAGTGCTAAATTATTTATTTTTTACTTACATATAAATATATATTATATATATATATACTTATACAAATGATTTGTAATCCGTCAAACTGTCATTCATGTTAGAATTTGTCATCAAATCTGGAGGTATTTTGTTTGTGCTTAAGTAGTGACTGGTGATCAGTTTGTTCTCTGTTCTACTGTTGCCTGTATTATCAAAGATTCACAAAGAATGAACTACCTTAAAAATGGCACCATCTTGTAACACTGTTAAATACTAAATTATGTTTTGTGTTATTTTATGCAGATCTTACCCTTTTTCATATGAAGTATTTTCTGTTGATACCAAGACATTTTCAATTAAAATTACTTTCGTCTTTTGGGGTTTCCCGTTTGTGGACAAAATGTATCTGTCACATTTTCTGATAATGTTGTAGTGTTTTCCTCAACGTGTGAATATGTATATTTTCCCAAGAGCAAAAGTTAGGCCCTCTGACTATGAAATTTTGTAATCTTAATCACATTGATGTAGTCTTGCGTTATTTTGTCATTTTTTCAAAAATCAGTTGAAAACACTTCAGATGTAATTGGATTTCCTGCAGTGAGATGTAGACATAGCTGTTCAGAACTAACTCCATCACCTACATGTTCTTTTGCAAACTGACAACAGCAAGATGGTAAAGCATGCAAGAAAATGTATTCCATCATTCTGAATTAGGGACCATTCATAATTTATGGCTTGGGGTGGGGGTGGGATGATGATGATGATTTTAAAGAAGGTCACCTATTTTGTTCTGGGGAGGCAGGGGTGTCATCAATTTTGTACACGTACTAGGGGGGTCAGCAAGTTTGTACATAGAAATATTTAAAACATATGCTTAAAAATTATGGGAAGGGAGGGGGTGTCATTGATTTTGTACATGATATGCAGGGCGGGGTCACTTACTTTGTACATAAATTTTAGTGAGGGGAGGGGTCATTCACATTGTACATGCTTCTCCATGAAAGTCGTCATCATAAACTATGAATGGTCCCTTACGACCCTCTGTTTTAAAAGCCATTGGTACAATCCTGTCACTTCCATACAGTATGTGGACTGACTGCATAGCGTAGTTTTGGTTTGGAGTTTGAGTCAGCCATGGAATCAGCCTGCTGGATTTGAATTTTGTCTTCAAGTATCAACACAGTATTAGATACAAGTCTACAGAGAAGCTCTTCAACATCTTCATTGTTTCTTGCAACATGCATGCAATTTGTGCTCTGTAGTATCTGTTAGTTGAGATTTCCTGTGGTAACTAGTAAGTGTAGCATTTCCTACTTCGAAATGTAAATAACTTCTTCACTGTTACTAACCAGTTTTTTAATTGACTTTGAATGAAAGAGTTTTGTGTAAATGTAAACCATTTCTCTGCCATACAATAAACTGAATCTGTTATGTTTTATAAAATAAGGATTTGTTCTTGAAAATGCATTTCATAATGTGTGTTTAGTTTTAATAATGTATGAAAACATGAACTGGAACATGTGTATCCAAGTAAAAAGAAGAAACATTCTGTCATTTGGCATCTTATGGACCTCATGTAGTGTTACTGTGTTCGCCAGAGAAATGGTAATGCAATAATATGTATTGTTAAAAGTGACTAATGTGATGAGGTACATGGCCTTTCTGTTATGTCTGGATCCACATTCCATGTTCAAAGCAGGTGATGTTTCCCTCGATCACCACCTTTCTGGACTGTCAAGGTCATGAAGTCAATTAAAAAATCATAGATGACGTTTTTAACTCTCAAAATATGAAGGCCAAATGATAGTAAATCACAAACAAGTTGCACCATAAAATGATAAATTGGAGACAAACCATGTGGTATTACCTGGATATTTTACCCAAACTGCTGACTGTAACTTGAATATTCCCATGCAGTCGAAGGACGATAAATTAATAGGCCCTTTCTATCCCAGGCAGTACGCAGGTTCTTCTGACTTTAGCTATTCAAGGATTGGAATTTTTTTTTGTTTTATCCAAACACTAAAACCAATTTGTAGGAGCATATCAGGGTAGGGTTTGTTTTAATATCAATCCTGAATGTCTCAATAAACCATCACGCAAATGTTTTCATTGATATTTCTGCTGTCATAGAAAATGTCATTTTGGATTATTTTTCAGAAAATAATACATGCATCTTGGTAAAAAGGTATTGTCTGGTATGTAAATAACATCATTTGGATTCCAGCTATGGTGCCTGTTGAAAATGCACTCAGAATTCTAATTGTGCTTAAATTATGGCTCTTATTATTTCTTTAAAAACAGTTATCTTCAAATCCATGTGTGAAGTCCAAGGTAGCTATAAACGCGGAAAAACATCTCCAAAACTTTGAATTCTAGTAAGCTGAACATCCAAACATGGGTGTTTTGTTTTCAAGCACTTGGCTTATAACAATAGCCTTGTTTGCCTTTTTCACCAACTGTTTGATTTCCGTGTGCATCATTGAGAGAAATGCTGATTTTTACTAATAGTGAAAGATGGTTGTCATGATATTCTGGAAACTTGTTAATACTTTTTATAACACTGAAATGGTGCATTTACCATAAAATTACCACGTAAAAGCTAACTCAACAATTTTAAAAAGATATGATACGGACACAAAAGGATTGTACTGATACTCTTTGCCAATGTAACATTGATTTGAGAAGCCAATGTGTTTATGTGTACATGTTCAATGAGACCCTAATTCAAACAGAATACTTGGTATTGACATAAAAAAATCATCTAACAAGTTCCTGAATTGTGTAGCACAATTTAAAAAAATAAATAGTGGTTGGTTGTGTCCTTTTATGGTTCTGAATTACCATCAGTTTATGCTGTTGTCATATTGTTGGCAAATGGAGGCTAGATTAGATGGTTCTCTTGTGTCACATAAAGGAATACAGTAAGGAGCTGCTATAAATGCTGTTGCATATAAATTGATTAATACCTACCAAAGATTGAGTAAAATATAATCTGCGTATTTCTCAATCATTAAAAACTTGATCTGGGCTAACTATCAAGTAATGTGCATGATGTTAAAACAAGTAATTTTGCAGGCCTATGTAAAAAAAGATGCCTTAAGATTTCTTTCAAAATTTGACCATTGCCACCACATCTGGTTTTGCAGTCACATGGTGCACTGAGATCTCAAGGTTATCATATCAGGTATATCTTCTTTATTGCCCTGGAACTTTTTAAACATTTGGGAAAAAATAACATCAATTCATTATTTTCAAGACTAGTTAAGTGGACTAACCTACACCTTATTTCTACCTTGTTACAAAAATAAGTTTGTTAGTATATCAGGTGAGGTTGTGAGGTGCTTGTTACGTGCACTTATCTAACCCCCTGTTTTGGTTTGACAAGTTTGGAAAGGACCATCCATTTGATATATTGCATGCATGTAACAATGATGGTAATGGGAAAGAATCATTTATTGTCAGTATTTATCTGAAAACATGTAACTGCTTTCGGGACATGATTGATAGAAGAAACAAATTGCTTCATTCACAGAAAAAGGTGTGTATAACTGTCATTTTCTTAGGATTGAGGCTGTAACGTCCAAGTTGTCTTGCATAAAGCATGGGTTTTACAAGAGTGATATCAGTCACACAAGAGCCTTCAAAGTATTCTAAGTAAGGTAACTAATAGCATAAGGCATACTAGTATAAAATTGTACTGTATTTTGGATGTTTTTCCAAAGCAGTAATGATGTCTTCAGACTGCAAATACTTTAGGTTCCTCATTAGTTTAGCTAATGTTGCATGAGGATGTATTTCAAGAGAGCAAGGATGAAAATATTTGTTTTTAGGTAATGATTTATGGTTCCTCTAGATGGCAGTGATAACGTTAGTCTTAGGCAGGGTAGGTAAGTGGAACAACTGTTCAGACTGGTGTCCTAACTGGGTTTTGACTTAGTTTACAGTCGAGAACTGCATGGGATTTACTGAATCACTGATTATCTGTACTGCCGACACTTATTTTTGTTACTTTGAAAGAGCTACATAATGTTTACAGAAATGAAGACTTAACTATGAGGGTATGAATCTTTTGCAGATAACAGATAGTGCTCAGGGTTGTCTGAATCTTTTTAAGGCATAAACAAAGCAGGTTTCATCACATTCAGTAATACACAGTATGTGATCATATGATTATTATTTAGCTTTGTGTAAATGTGAACAAAAATCTGCCTGATACTGAACAAAATAATTTATTTGCTAATGTATTGCATCCTGCATTTAACATGCAAATATATTTGTATAAATGTCAAGTATCATGCATCATGTAAGACATCAGTGGATGGAATATACACACACATAGTGAAGAGGGTCAAGAGGGGTTTTATTGTTGTTTTTTTTTTTTGCTCAAGTAAGAATTTGGTGTGTTTGTCATAGATCATTCTCTTCCCACAGAGGCTACTCAAGTCATATCTTCTCATGTACCTCTGTTCTAATACGGCCCTTTCATGCTTGTGTTCAGGATTCGTGATTGGTTGCAATCAGATTTAGTTGTGCAATCAGCAGTGTTGTTTCAAAAGTGATCATTCGCAAAGCCTCGGTAATTTCCATATGCTTTGGGAAAACTAGAACTTCTTCCCCTGCACGATGCGCAAACGTTTCTTCTAGACAGGACTCGGTCATGTAATGCAGAATCAATGGCATCTCCATCGCCCTTGTTGACAACGGACAAGCTTGCCATTAAATGTTTTGTGTGTCATATCAACACAAGTCCCCTAATGAATTCAGCGTACAACATTGTTCATCCATATTAGAAATGAGAGGGCAAATGATAGTGATGATCATTTTGGTTTCTCTTATACATTGTAGAATCTCGTAAGTTAGGGACTTGCCACTACAAGTTTTAGTTCCAACAAAACCATCTTGTTGATTGACTCCTGCACTCTCTATTTCTGTTTCGGATTTTCAGTTAAACATGAAATACCGAATCTATCCTCCATGGAGGCTGCCACCACATTGGATCTTAGTCGATGTAACACATGTTCTAATTTGATAGAAAGAAGAGAGATAATTCGTGTTGCGAGTTTTCTGCCGCGAGAGGATTTTACGAGAGACTGAGAAATATAGAACAGAGGTATGTGGGAAGATATGACTTGAGTAACCTCTGTGGGAAGAGAATGGTCAATGATGTGTTTTAAGATTGTTTTATACATGAATGACAAAACTGTTCTGATACAAATATTGATACTAAAATCATGAAGTGTTAGGAATTTTCACAAATCTTGAAATCTTACAACATAGCATAATAGTACATGTGAAATGGATGGACCTATGAAAATAAAGTCTTAGACCTCTGGTTTCATCATAGCTTCTTTCATGTTTTTGAAACTGTAGAAAGATCACTTGACCATGTTGTGATATACCGGTATTTTTTGCCTAATATTTGTAGATTCTATAAAAATAATCTTTATTTGTAAAACAAACTTTTATAAGATGACTGATTTTATCTTGTAGATTATGTTGTGAATATATAAGAAATGAAGTGGATTTTTCATCTTTTAAAGTGAACAAGAAACACATAACTTTTTGAAGAATCAAACATTCATAAAATATTCTTGAAGAAAACAGATTTTACCATGTGTTTCATAATTTGATGTTTTCATAGTTTTCTTCATTTTGTCTCAGCCCATGCAACTCATGATTTTAGGTATTGTCTGACCACCACTGTGTCATTTTGAAACCACATGGCATCATATATTATACCTCCTTAGTTAACATTATGAAAATTTGTTAGAACATTGACAAGTCATTTGATATGTTGTTTAACAGTTGATTTAAGCAGGATTCACAAGGAGAAAAGTTGAGAATGTGAGTTATAGGTGAGGTCAGGGTCACAGTGAAGGTTATTCTAAAAGGTTTGTTTGCTAATTTCTCACTAAAATGCATGTTTCTATGAACATTTTAAGAGAGTCATGCTTGTATTGATTGCATATATATGTACACAAGTGATGACAAACTTTTCAAGTAGGTCACTGTGAGCTATTTTCAAGACTTCAGACTGTTCAGACTGTTCAAAATGTTCAGTGAGTATCATATTCGATGTAATTTCAGAAACCATATAGTGCTTGGACATCTTAATGATATATGATGATGTATGTCTCCTTTTTAACAGAGAGAAACCATTTGGACACAATAGAAAAAACTTTGGTTTGCTGCCTGAAGGAGAAATTTGGTATATCAGCCTCAAGGTTGAACTCAAATCTCTTATTGTCTGGGTTCCACAGTGATCATTAATAATTTGATATTCACAGATGCCTGTCATCATAAATGTGTCATATTTGTAATTAATTTTCGAAGTAAATATCCTATATGGTTCTTGGTTCGCCAGTGACTATTTTGTAACTCTTTGAGTTATTTGTTTCTTGGCTACCATTCCCACCATCATGACTGAAGACCAAGTCCTGAAGAGTTACCGAGTATAGTATTTAATCAAATAAGAGAAATGCCTACAAATACCTAACCTCTCTCACAACATTGCCATAATTCTGTCGTGTGGCTCTCATAACCATTTACCAATCACTTAGATTTTTGACAGAATTTTGCTCTCTGAGTCTCACATAGCTAATTGTCCTCTTTGCATCTTAACTATAATCTTCAGGTAAATGTAGTTGTTGCTGAAAGGCTTAAGGCAGACTGGTATGCATTGATTGACCCGCATCTGTCCTCCACCATAATTTACAAAGCAAGAAGCAAGAACACAGAATGACCCAGAAGAAAGAATTTCATAGCCATGTGGTCAGCAGTGGGATAGATGATTTTGGGATCTAGTTTCATGGTTGGCAGGATAAAATTCACAATTATTCAGGTTGATGGGAAACTGAACAGTGGGGTTTTGAGGCCTCCATGTAGATTTCATCTTTGAATAATGATATCCCATAAGTGGGATCAGTGGACTGATATCCATGGGCTCCAAAGGAAAGGTCGATGGGACACATAGTCACAGTACTTTGTTCAAGTTTACTGCATGTTGCTGTACCCCCAACTAGGGTGTTTGCACATATTCATGTGGCCACATCTGGTCATATACCAATGGATTCGTTGGGACTTGTTTTTATAAGTTACCATGAGTTGGCTATGGTAAAGAGCCACACTGATCCATGACAACTCTGACATGATACCACAGACACAGATAAAATAACAAGAGTGCCAAAGGCAATACCACAGACAGAGATACAAAAACAACAGCGCCAAAGGCAATGAATGGCAGCAGGGGTGACTCACGAAAGTCATGAAACCTATCAAAACAGGCCATGTACAGACATTGCATACCATTGGAACCAGATTCTGTGCAACACAACAACAGATTCTTTTGTCCTCCAGTTGTGTGTTTTCTCAAGACACTATGGGTGTTAACAAGATTTCGGATCAATCCATGTGTTTTATTATTGTTGCTCAACACTAAACAATTGTCTAGCTTTATGTCAGATGGCATAAGTAATTGAGTTCAGATCAGACAATTCAGAGCCCCTCATATGTCCTTCAGGTTATTTTGGGGGCGTTGGGGTAGCCTAGTGGTTAAAGCGTTGGCTCGTCACGCCGAAGACCCGGGTTCGATTCCCCACATGGGCACAATGTGTTAAGCCCATTTCTGGTGTCCCCCGCCGTGATATTGCTGGAATATTGCTAAAAGCGGCGTAAAACCAAACTCAGTCAGTTCAGGTTATTTTGGCAATGATGTGATAGAGGAATGGTTATCACACAAATTATCGAACAATAGTTATTGTCAATAATTCTATGCATACTTTCTCTATTACATCAGGAATTATCCCAAGCACTTTCCCCAATGATCTGCATTGTGTTGATCAAGGGTGATTACTGGAAAGAAGTGAGGTTTTCTTGCCTTGGACATGCACAAAGCAATGATAAACTGTTATCCATACAACTAATATTGGTCAGGTGATGGTGAAGAGGACTCCTGAAGAATTGTTTACATTATGATGACAGCCAAAATACAGGATTATGGCAGTGATGTGATATAGAGAGTATTATTAGAATTATAAACAATCATAGCTATTGTTTGAGTTTCCTGTGATGAGTCGTGTTATATATATATGTATATATATGTTTCTATTTGCATTTTATGAATGATCATAACTTGCTTTTTCAAACCAAACATTTTGACCAATAACTCTTACTTATCAATAACAATTCTGTTCTTTTTTCTATGAATTAAATATTGATTCTTTAGAATTTATATGTTCCAGTTGAATAAGCTGCATGATTCCTTGTTTTGGTTGGATTCAGAAATGTGTCTAAAAATGTATGCTAAGTGGTTACCTGGATGGTGTGAGATAATTTTCACAATATTTTATGGTGCTTGAAACATGAATCAGTTTGTTTCCACTATGTTAAATCTGTACTTAATCCTTCTAATTATTTCAAGATTGGAGTAAAAGGTATTTTAAAGCAGATATAGAGTAAGATGATATTTACTTACTCATTGTCAGGAGAGATCCACATTACAATTTTCTAGTGCAAAAAAATACTTGTTACAAGTCACTCTTGCTAGACAACAGTATTAGCATCTGTACCGAAATGTCTCATAATATGATAAAGAAGTTGTCATCCATAAATTATCCAACCTTTCCTAAGTTTTCCCAAAGCATGTTACGTCTGTCTCTTTCAGATATCATATTAACCTATTTTGAAAATATACACTATTCTTCTCTCTAAGTCAGCTTGAAAAGGGCATGATATTGTATGGTAATAGATGTGTATATATGTATCTCCAATTTTCCCTTGTACAATGGTGTCATTCATTGCCTTACTGAAATTCTCACTTATGTCTGTGAATTAGCATGTGATGTACAATCAGTAATATGTAGGTTTGGCTGTAGTAGTTTGGGATATGGTAAAGTCAAACTGCTGTTTAATGAATTAACATTGAAGCAGTGGACCAGAAGTATTATCAGTACAGAGTTTCTCAAGGAAAAGATTTTGTTGTGATATACTGGTAGTGGTTAGTGTCAAAGAAGGAGTGTGTTGTGTATCATCTATTAGCTAAAAAGATAATACACATCAGTATTGTTACCAATAGTTTCAGAGCATGTTTATTACTGTTTTCACATTTTTGTCATTAATTATGATGCAGAAAATTGAGTTCTCAAAATTACTCTAAAAAAGTGAACTAAACTTTGTTCACAGAAGTTACTGTGAAAGTGAATGATTTCAGACATGACAGAATGATTTAAATTTCAATTAATATTTGAAATTAAGTATTTGTTCCCCACTCTCAGAACAAGATGATTTAGTGGAGCTATATCTAGAACATGTTCTCATTACTCATTTACTCATTTTTGGTATTACTTTGTGTCTATAGATTATATAGGTTCTCATAAATGCAAGATAAACAAATATGCAATAGTCTTTTAGTGTTTGAGACCGTTAGTTTTAAAATGATTTGTACAGCTGTAGCATTTTGTACATAGTTGTGGAGGTGTGAGACATTTCCCTGTGTTACACATGGCAGGATGTAGAGACTTGACCAATCACTTTTCGATTGGATTCTGTTCATGTTTGTCTTGTCATGCATCCTCTATGGTAGTGTTATATAGCATGGTGTTTGTAAAACAGTTACTGATATTGTATAGTCAATGTACATGCATCAGTCCTTTATTTATGCTTTCTGTAACATGTTTATTTCAGTTAGCCACAATTGGTAGCAAACAAAACAGTGGAGGTTCAGTTACATCCTAATCGTGCAAATGTATGTCAGAAATATATTTAGATATTAGGAATATATTTATTTCTTAAATCTCTATTTGTAGCTCATGCTGATATTTTCAGTCTGAGCATTTGAAATGGGTCGTTGTTGTCCATCCATTTTATAAATATCTACCATCTACACTCTCTGATAAAAGTCAGGGTCAATTCTGTTGAAACAATCTATAATTCTGTTGACGACATAGGAATTAAAAAAGTCACTTCTAAATCCAAATCACCATATAAATAGGCTGTATTGGACTTTTTTGAAAGGCACTCAACATACAAACTAAACTGTATTAACATCTGTGTGTATAAACTATAGTTCATGAAAGCTTTCCAATGTAACAAACACCAGTGTGTTTTGGTAATTGGTGTTAGGAATCTTGCTGAACAACCTAATCATTCTGGATTCTTTCTTTTCAGTTTTATTTTACTTTTAATTGTAAATTACTTTTTTTCAAATCTTAGTACAAAATACAGTACCATGTAACATGAAAAGAAACTTTATTCCATGAAAGATCTACTACAACTTTTTGACTTGAAAAAACATATCTATTTGAAAATCCCATATCACTGTTTGGGTCTGAATTTCATGTCATTTCAGGGTCCAGGATTCCATCTCCAACACCCCACTTCTTTGCTCCCGATCCTCATTTCTCCCAGATCATGCTGTCTATCACTGTATTTGTAATTTGCAAGTCCTATTCATTCACAACCACAGTATGTTCACATCTAAAAGGTTTTCTATCAAATTTGGAAAATTCACTGGCTTGATAGTTTAATGCAAGTTCTCTACATAAATCTTTTTACACAAAACACAAAAATCTGTAAATCAAACAGGCCATACAAGACTACAGTGCCACAAATGACAGTTTAAAGACAGTTTAGATTTTATTATTTGATTATCCAAAATTGTAAAGCAGCCATATATGACCTGTTGTCTCTCAATCACATTTCTATTTAAATGAAACATTTCCTAATTACACAAGTGCATTTCTGTAAATAGTGAAGAATGTAAAATAAAAAAACTCTGTTGTTTTTATCTTAAGAAATGTTCACTCACTCTTTTATCAATATCTTTATTTATTCTGTTATAATGGAGAAATAAGGTATGTATAATTCCAGCTGTGGTCTCAAAAAAACTCAGAATTCCAGTCCCAATTATAATCATGACTACCATTATTTCTACTTAATCAGGTGAGCTTCAGAACCATGTGGCATTATTTCTCAAGTTAACTGTGACAAACTATATTTTAGGCTACAGAAAAGGCAAGTAGTGGTAAAGGAGGATTTTAATAAAGCTGGTAAGGATTGGAATTTCATGAGTAGTTTATTATTGCTATTTTTAAAGGCTAACAAACAAACAAACGTAAGTTAGTGTATTAATATGTCAAGTGTAATAATGTGGTAAGTGGTATGAATATGTAGTTCTCAAGGGTGGTGGGTTTTGAGAAAAAAATATTGCAGTAGAGGAATTCTGACATGCACAAATAAATATACACAAACAAACTATTAGAAGGTTGTCAAGTAGAGCATTATCTATTACATCCTTAGCAATAATGTTATAATCATGTCCCAAAAGAACGTGTTAAGTTTCAAGATTTCCTTAATCTGTTTTATGCTTTTTCATATACAGTGTATCTGTTACAACTTAAGTTGTGATTTTAAAGGTTTTTAAACCTGAAAATATCCTTTTCTGTACAGTTTGTTTTTGTTTAGTATGATGTACAACATTAATTTGTGCAAGCAGGTTTAATGTATTCAAAGCATTGTCTGTCTTGCTAACCAAACGAAATAAAAAGATTGAGTTAAGAAATGTTTCTTGTCAGTTGCTCCCTCAGAAGGACAAAGCGAGCTAAAGGTGTGATGCATTGTTCATCCTCTTGGGAAAGATAATTGTCAAAAACCTCATGAAGGTCCAAGAAGCTTAAGGTTTTGTTTTCTGTATTAAGATGTTGGTGTTCAGATTCAATGATGAAAGGTAACCTCTGCAATTATACCAGCATGCTTGCCAGAACTCATCCAGGGATGATGGTAAGGCCTGCCTAGAGTACTCTGGCCATTATTTACAACATGCTGATTCCTTGATGAGTGTGCTTTCCTCTTCCACATTTCCTTTGGTCCCATTCACCTGTCACATTTATCTTCAGAAATCATTATATGGAAATATTAACTATGAAGGGTGGATTTAATGTGTCAGTAAAATGCCCCTTTTTAAGTAAAATAGATGCATTGTGTTTGATTTCTTTCATGTGATTGATATTTTTCACCTATTTTTTAAAAACTTTTGGTAAAGCAAGGGCTTGACCTTTCTATACTCCTGAGGGCAGCATATTTTATTTGTGTTTCTCATCTCCCAACGACCTGTGAAGGTCCGGGTTAGAATGAACCTTCAGCATCCCATGCTTGTCGTAAGAGGCGACTAACGGGATCGGATAATCAGGCTCGCTGGCTTGGTTGACACGTCATCGGTTCCCAATTGCGGACATCGATGCTCATGCTGTTGATAACTGTATTGTCTTGTCCAGACTCAATTATTTACAGACCGCCACCATATAGCTGAAATATTGCTGTGTGCGGCTTAAAACTAACTTCACTCACTCACTCGTCTCCCTAAGGACTGTATATTGGCTGCTGACCTGATTATAAAAAACCCAAAACTTTTTGTCCTATGGACTGCTCATTTAATTGTTTCCTTCTTGTGTCCGTGCTGGGATGAAGGATGCAGGTAGAGGACAAGTGTACAGTGACAAGAAAGCCAAACCCTAGGTATTGCACCATCATGTATTAGGGAATAAAAACCTTTTTGTGACCGATATGTCTTAACATCTGATTCAGTCTATGTTTATGTTCTCTGCAGCTTTTCTGTGTTGTTTCTTTCTTCTATTGTGCAGTGCAATCTGTGTCATGGATTTGACAACAAATTATCTTGCTGTGTATAATTCTTATTTCTAGAATACCAAAGAAAACAAAATAAATTAGATTTTAGACAGGTCTTTTGTTCTTTTCCATGAGCAGATTTCCCATACCCACTCCAAACCCATGAAGATCCGGGTTAAAATTGATCTTCAGCAACCCATGACTGTCGTAAGAGTCGGGTGGTCAGGCTCGCTGATTTGGTTGACACATGTCATCATATCCCACAATTGCGTAGATTGATGATCAAGCTGTTGATCACTGGAATGTCAGGTCCAGACTCGTTTATATACAGACCGCCGCCATATAGCTGGAATATTGCTGAGTGCAGCGTAAAACTAAACTCACTCACTCCTTCACCTGGGGACTTTTTTATGTGTAACTAAGAATTGGAGTCTAACAATTTGGTTTTACCTGTTTTAACTTGCACCATCGTCATCTTGCAATATATTCTACTGGAATAAAGTAACTGTGCATTATTGGATGTTTTATGTTTATTGCAATAAGATAATACCATGATTGTGATGTTTTCCTTAATCACTAGCTGTTAACAGCATAATATCGAAATCTGTATGATTTGACACTAGGCATCGTGACACGCCCTTGACGAGATGTGTGGAAAGTCAGTTCACAAATTCAGTTGAGTGTGAGTCCACCATTGGTGTTGAAGGCTTCATAAGGACGACGCATAGACGACACAAAGCATTTGAAGAAAGCTTCAGGAATGTTGTTCCATGTCTGAAACAACGCATGACCTAATTCAGCTAACGTCAATGGCTGTTTCTGCGCTTAACCGTCGCTCCATTTCATCCCAAGCGTGCAGAGAAACAGCTGGTCAGGGGATTACCGGAAAGTTCTGCTGTCTCATGAAATCTGTCACAACATGAGCGACATCTGGATGGGCATTATCTTGCTGAAACGTGAAGTATAGTCTCTGTCCTTGAACGAACGGCTGCACATGAGACCCAATGATCTCATCCCTGTATCGCAGACCTGTCAGATCGCCATTGACAATGACAAGTTGTGTCCGACCATGATACTGATAACCCCCATACCATAACGCTTCTACCACCAAACTGCTTTACTGCATGTATATTTAGGGTTTTTCTATAACTTTTCAAAATAACTTTCATATTATACAATTGTATGTTATGCAGTTATTTTTTCAGTTAGTAGACGATCTATTGTGAAATATTAAAACCTGACGACAATGAGGATAATGTATATACTCAGCGCAAGTGTTGAAGTCTTTACCTATATTTGGATCTGTAAAGAAATTAAAACAAATATTAGAGACACAGTGACTTATAATGATTGTATTGAATTTAATTTCAACAGTGATAACATAAGAAATCGCATAAATGCAAAAGGACGCTTGCGACTAGTACAGTTTGAAGGGAACCCTTAATAAGCAAGTTCACATGGAGTAGTCAAAACTCCTGGTTGCAGTATAGAGTCAGTATCTGGTGTAACCACCCCTGCTGTGGATACCTTTTGTGCATTTTGACCTCGTACTCCTTACCATGTTTATTATGAAGGCTTGGAGTATGACATCCCACCCCCAGAGGTTTCTGCAGTGTCCTCGGATTGTGTGGCACAGGGTGTCTTCGGTAAACGCGGCGCACCAGCTCATCCCATAAATGTTAAATGGGATTGAAGTCGGGGGAACAAGAAGGCCAGTCCATTATCCTAACGCCCTGTTGCTCAATGAAGGCGTTGATGACATGTCCACGGAGCTGGCCGAGCGTTATTATCCTGGAGGATTGGGGGACCTTTGTAGTGACGCTTGGTCCTCATGAATGGTACCACAATTGGAGCCACTATCTCATCTCTGTAGCGCAGTGCAGTGAGATTTCCCACAAGAACGTCTAATCGTGACCTTGCTGTACCTGTAATTCCACCCTAGACCATTATGGAATCGACTATGCGCCACAACAGCAGCATCTGCAAAACGTTCCCGACGTTGTCTGTAGATTCTCCTTCGGGCCATCATGAAATGAAACATAAAACCGGCTTTCATCGGTAAACAAGACTGAGGGCCATGTGCAGCAACCTGACGTTGGCTACCACCCGCGTGGAGCATGCCAATAGCTCGATCTCGATTTTTCAATACTCAAAAATCGTCGCATTCTTTCAAGGGGATTTTTACAGTCAACGAGGTCTGGAAGCATGTGCTTGTCCCCAGATTTGCACGTACCCATACCCCCGATTTGAACATGCAAATCGTGTGATAGGTTTGGGTTCGATTGCAACGATCTGTGTTCATGGATGAAAAGTGTCAATTGTTGGAACAATTATCACTGTTTGCTTACTTTTTATATTATTTTCTGTGGTTTAAATGTTGTTCCCAGTACGAATGCCATAATCGTTAATCCTGATTGTAAACCCTAACAACTGAAGTTCGTCTTACTGTCAACTCTAAATATGATTAAAGCAGCTTTAATTTCTACCAGTCATTCATATGGGTGACCCTTCAATAACTGCGTTGAGTATAGTTTCATCTGAGGGTGTTTCAACTGCTGTGAATACCCGTGATAATTGCCAAATTGGATTTTCGGTAATGTTCCTGAATAATATTCATACATTGTACCGAGTAATAGTAAAATATGGTGTTTGATGCTGAACATCGGTGAATAGAGGCGATTTGTGAACAAACTCACTTGCCTAGGCTGCGACCACGTGTATCACGTGTGCTTCGTTATGGGTCCAAGAAACACTCAGGAGTGCCAAACACGGTAACTGACTTGTGACCAGGGCTCTATGCACAGGACCACACACCACCGTTCCAGCAATTTTTCTGCTGTGCATACTAATTCCACCTCACACTTCGTGTACTAGAATATCACATATATAGATGTAAAACTAGCATATAAATCTAGAATTACAGACAATTCCATATATAACAGACTATAGATCGCCAACAACTGAAGGCAGATCGCCATACTAAGGACCATAGGGACTTTCGGTACTTTGCTTCTTGCATGGATCCATCACTTCATCCGTTGGCAATTGTGCTATTTACATATTTACAAAACATTTTTCAAACAATTTAATTTCTGTTAAAAGTCAATAATTAAATAACAACTATCATCAAAAAGATCCTTGACTGTTTTCACATTGAAATAGTAGTATATATAATGATAGTCCGGGATCAAGTCCAACAAAAGCCTCTGCAAAGCCTTATTTCACAAATAAAGCTTTTGTTAGGCCCTTAGATCTCGCCACCATTGTATCTACTACTTTTGAACCCCCAGTTAACTTCCCGACCCCACGTGGCACTACTGTGCCGCTTTGATGTGTTGACAGGGGGTAACATTGTACCGTACGGTATGATCAATAATTCCTGTCTAACGAATCCTCTCCCTGGCCCATCTCTCAAGTAGTACAAGTTCGGCTCGTCGGCTTTGATGTCCACTTTATCTATGTTGTAAGTTTTGACTGACCATATCGGATCGGTGGCTCGCTTACGACTATCACCCTCGTGTTCCCCCAGCTGGTAGAGGTACCTCACTATGGCCCTATCTGGTATCTGTTTCTCCTTCCCACGCAATGGTGCAGCCGACTCTGCCACTATTGATTTTAGTTTGATAGCGTCGGCTGGTTTCTTGCCGGTGAGACGGGTGGTTTATGGCCGACACCACCTGAGGTAGCCACGCTACCCATTCCGTCGATCGTTTCCCCGGTTTGGTCATCTCTCTCGCATACTGATGTCCGAATAAGCGCTCTGCCAAAGTCCGATTGAATCTCTCAACTATTGCTTGGCTGCGATGAGCCCCGGCAGCACCACGCCTGACCTTGGTATCGTGTTTGTTTAGCAGGTGTGACACGGCACCCATGAACTCCCGCCCGGGGTCGACTTGCAGCTCTGTGGGCCACGTCAGTGGACTGCACTTGTATATG